TTTAATTAGCTGTCCTGACACTTACAGATCCTGTCTTGATAACCCTCCTCTCTGCGGCGCGTTTGACATTTCTAAGCTAGGTTCATAGAGGACTCAGTGGTTCTGTTGGGTCATGGTGGATTCTGTTCTTCTTCCCAGGCTCTGGACCTGATCCTGGAGAAGATGAAGGCTTCTGGCTTTGACTTCTCTCAAGTTCTAGCCTTATCCGGGGCAGGCCAGGTTTGTCAACAGCAGCCCATCTGCCCTGGGAACTTGGCTGTCTCCGCAATGGGTGGGTGCTGAGCTGATGGCATCCTGTGGAGTACGCATTTCTTTCTTTCTTTTCTTTTTCTTTCCTTCCTCCCTCCCTCCCTCCCTCCCTTCTTCTTTTTCTTTTTAGATTTTTCCAGACAGGGTTTCTCTGTGTAGCCCTGACTGTCCTGGAACTTGGCTCTGTAGACCAGGCTAGCCTCAAAAGTGAGTATACATTTCTTTGGTAGTGACAGTACCTCCAGCTCATTCACCTTAGGGGCAGTATGGCTGATCTTGCAAAAGGATCTGAGATGCTTCTACGATAAGGTGTTGTATAAATAGGACGTTTAGGTGGGCTTGGTGGTGTAGGCCTGTAATCCCAGCTAATTGCAAGGCTAAGGCAAGAGGATTGCAAGTTCAAGGCCTACCTGGGCTGTACAGGGTGAGTTTGAAGCTAGCCTGGGCAAGTTAATGAGACCCTGTCTCAAAATAAATTAGAAGGCTAGGATATAACTCAGTTATAGAGCACTTTCTAAGCTGAGGCCTAGCATGCGTGAGGCCTGGCGTTGACTCCTCAGTACTCAGTGAATAAACAATAGTAAAGTAAGACCGTTGATAGGGAACTATGCACAGGTCCCATAAAGGGACGGAGAGAACATTAAATGTGGATTTATCGTGGCTGTTTGGTGGCACTAAAATTGCTTTCTAGTTCTTGGAAGGAAAAACAGTAAGGAGTGATACTAACAATGAGAGCAGTTTTATGTGTTTCTTTTTACTTGAGTGTGTGTGTGTGTGTGTGTGTGTGTGTGTGTAGACGTAAGTGCAGGTGCCCTTAGGAGGCCAGAAGAAGATGTTGGTTCCCCTGGAGCTGGAGTTACAGACAGTTGTGAGCCCCCTGATGTGGGTGTTGAGAACCAAACTTGGGTCCTTTGCCAAAGCCGCAAGCTCCCTTAACCACTGAGCCACCTCTCCAGCCTTGAGAGTGCAAGCTCCCTTAACCACTGAGCCACCTCTCCAGCCCTGAGAGTATTTTCAGTAGAAAGCTGTAGTATTCCTGCTGTCCAGAGTATTGACTGAGCCAGTGTGTGCCAGCCACTGTGCTGAGGTCCTCAAGGTCTCTGGTCCCGTGGTGATTCTGAGCTGGTGGCAGTGCTGCCAACCAGAAGAGGTGCTCTGGGCATGCCCCCCTCTGCCACGTAGAAGCCTGACCCAAGTCACATCCCCCAGACTCCTGGGGCCTCCACACCCCTATCTCACGCAGGGTCACTGAGACTGTTAAATACATAGGACAGTGCCTGGAACATAATACTCTCTCTTAAACTTTAGCTACTCTTTTTTAAAATACAAAAAAATATTTCGTGTATGTGTGTATTTGTGACACTGTGCCAGGGCAAGTGTGTGGAGGTCTCAAGACAGCTTCTGGGAGTTGGTTCTTCTACCATGTGGACGCTGGAGATCAAACTCAGGTCGCCAGGCGTGGCAGCAGGTTCCCAGCTCTCTGCAGCTTTTCCTCTTCCTGGAGCTCTGTCCTACCATCTCGTCCATGCCCCAGTCTGTACACCCCCCGGCTGGTCTCTCTGTTTTCTCATCACTGCGGCTCCACAGGTGTGTGTGTGAGGGTGCATATGTCCATGTCTGTCTGAACATATGGCTGGTCAGGGGACAACCTTGGGTGTCATCCTTATGTTTTGAGACAGGGTCTCTCACTGTTCTAGAGCTTAACAAGTAGGCTAGGCTGACTGACTAGCCAGTGAGCCCCAGGAACCTGTCTGTCCCCACCTCCCCAGTGCTGGATTATAAGCACACACCACCATGCCAGATTTTTGTTATTTTGATTATTATTATTTTTGTTATTTTGTTAGCCATCTTTCCAGCCCTCTAGATTTTTTAAAAGTTTATTTATTTATTGTTTATTTTCTGTGTATGAGTGTTTTGTCTACAGGCATGGCTGTCTGTGTACCACATGCACACCTGGCGCCTGCCGAGGCCAGACAAGAATATCAGATCCTCTGGGATTGGAGTTACAGGTGTTTGGGAACCACCATGTAGGTGCTGGGAGTTGAAGCTAGGCCCTCTAGAAGAGCAGCCATGCTCTCCACCACTGAGTCACCTCTCCTGCCCCACAGGTTATTTTTTAAATACAGGACGGAACTCAGGGCCTCATGCTTGCAGGAAACGCACTTTAACAACCGAGCATCGCCTGAGGCTTTTGTAATTGCGTTTTTGTGTCTTTCCCTCACTCACGTTCATGGTCCTGGACATCAGGGTCAGTAATAACCTATTAACTTGTGTCTGGCATGATCTTGCTGCCCAATATGTTTGTTAAGTGAAAAAATGGCGTGAGACAACCTCAGGCACTACTGTGGGTGATATTTGAGAAATTAGCACAGTTTGACAAAAGACACACAATACAGACTGATGGTTCCAGAACCCTCCTTATGAGTTTTGAGGTGATAGGAAGGAGTTCCTTCTCATTTTACAAAAGTGAAAACCACGAATCGTAAAGGCACTGAATTATGTGACAGAGAGGTGGTAGAGTCTTGGAGACGTTTTTGTTGTTGTTTTGGGTTTTTTGTTTTTTTTTTTGGCTTGAGGTCTGGCTCTGCATCTGCAGGAGGCTGTGACTCCAGGCGTGGTGGATGAACATGTGCTTGAATTCCCCTCAACAGCAACATGGAAGCGTGTACTGGAAGACCGGAGCCAGCCTGGCACTGTCGGGCCTGTCGCCAGCTCTCCCGTTACATCAGCAGTTGCAGGTGAAGATGCTTGTGAATCTAATGAACTTCTGCAGACCCTGCAGAGGGACCCCGTGTGCAGGGAACCCTGCAGTCTGAGGCCTCTCCGCATTGTCATGAGTATGAGAAGGTGGAATGTGGTCTGTTCAGCCCTCAGGCTGAAGCCCCCTTGGGGTTGCCCAGGGGTGCCGATGACGCCCTCATTGATGAGTCCCTTCCTTCACGGAACGGCTGTGGCCCCTTGGTGATGCTGGGAGGTGGGGTCTCCAGTTTCCCTTTCCTCCTGTCTCCAAAGCTCCAGACCTGCACTGTGGTGCCGCTGTTGCCCGTTGCCTTGTCTCCTGTAGCCTGATGTGCCCAGGTGTCTTTAACAGAGGTCACCCGGCCTCAGGCTTTCTGGAGAGGCCTCACTGGTCCCGCAGAGGGCCTGTCCACGGGGTCTTCCTGATAAGATGGCCCGTGTGACTGCAGCGCCAGGGTTGCCTGTAGTCAGTGGTAGAAGGAGAGCCTGAACTCTGCTGTTCTTTCCAGGACTGCTTCTCCGTCAGCGACTCTCCCATATGGATGGACTCCAGTACCACAGCCCAGTGCCGCCAGCTGGAGGCTGCTGTGGGTGGGGCCCGGGCTCTCAGCTGCCTCACAGGGTCCCGGGCCTATGAGGTAGGTAACATGCATGTCACTCACGATGGGGGGTAAGACTCTGGGAGGATGTAGTGGGCAGCCAGCCTGGGGGTGGGGGGTGTGCAGGGATCATCTGAAGTGATGCTAGTGTCGTTCCCTGAAGCCGGCTTGGAACATGTTGGCCCTGGGTTCTGGTCCAGGCTGTCCTGTCTCATTTAGCAGGCAATGGCGAGGCCCTTGTGTGTGGTCCCAGGCCAGGGCTGGGGTATGGGCACGGCTGCATCCCTCACTGGATCTACTGCATGGGGGAGGGTGTGCTGCCTCAGACTCGTGGTCTGTAACCTCATGATAGCAGTGAAGCTGAAAGGAGATAGAGTCCAGCAGACTTAAATCAAGGGGCCCCAAGGCTTAGCCACTGTCCCAGAGTTCGTTGTGATTGGCTATTTTGGGTCACGTGACTGTGGCTTAAGCAGGGGATGGAGGTCTAGAGATTGCTCAGCAGGTCAGAGTTCATACTGCACTTGCAGAGGTTCAGTTCCCAGGACATCAGGTGACCAGCACCTGCATGTAACCCCAGCTCCAGGGTATTGGACACCCATTTTGGCCTCCTTAGGCATCTACATGGACACACACACACACACACACACACATACACACACACACACACACATTTTATTTACATGAGGAAGGCACATATATAATTCCCTCATAAATAAAGTAAAAATAAAGGCAAAAAAAATTTTTTTTCCTGTCCTGGATTTTGCTCAGTAGACCAAGCTGGCCTTCAACTCACAGAGATCCGCCTCCCTCTGCCTCCAGAGTGCTGGGATTAAAGGCGTGTGCCACCACTGCCCGGCTAAGGCAAAACATTTTAAAATCCAGTTAGAACAACTAGGACTACGGTTTCCACAAGGAGAATACCTGAGCCCCTGCTTCTGGTCTCATGGAACTGGGAAGGGGGCTCTGTGGTTAACAGACTGGCTGCTCTTGCAGAGGACCTGGGTTCGGTTCCCAGCCCCTACATGACGGCTCATAGCTACCTGTGGCTCCAAGGTGATCTTATTCCCTCTCCTGATCTCTGTAGGTTCCTGCACATGGTGCACAGACACACACTCAGACACAGACCATACACACTAACTACATGAGTAAATATATTTTAAGGACAGTTATAATAAGGGCTAGTCACAGAGCTAGTTAACGAGTGAGACACCCCCCTAACCCCCCCACCCCCGGTAAGCTGAGGTTACTGCCCTGTCTGTGGGTGCATAGGGATTGCTAGCTGCCTAAGAACTCATTACCAAGAACATTTTCAGGACTCAAAGCCAAAATACACGGTCTCCCATGTTGAGCTGGTAACAAGCATTTCTAGATGTGGGGGTTTCTCAAAGCTATTGGTGTTCTATGCCATGTCCAGGTCATTCTATGCTAACCTCGCTTTAAGATTGTTCTGTGTAGGATCTGAGTGTCTAAGAATCTGTGGTCTTTTTTCTCCCCACAGCGCTTTACAGGGAACCAGATAGCAAAGCTTTTCCAGCAAAACCCCGAGGCCTACAGACACTCCGAGGTTGGTGAGCCTTCATGTTCCCTCAGAGTCACACTTCAGTCTCTTTTGTCACCCTCGCCTCAACCCAAACACATCTTACATGCATTGGCTAATGCCTTTGGTGAGTAGGTGCTAAGTGATTCACAGTGGGGCTGTTGAGAGGGCTCAGTGGGTTGAGGTGCTTGCCTCCAAGCCTGACCCCCCGAGTTCGATCCCCACGACCTACAGGGTGGAAAGAGAGGACCAACTCCTGAAAGCTGCCCTCTGACCTCCATATATGTGCCGTGGTGTGTGGGCACCTCTCACACATGACAAACAAACACAGTAAAACAAATTAAGAGTAAAGCAAGACCCCCTCTACCTTTTCTACTCTTAGATACGCAGAGGGCACTGTGCTACAGTTGTCTGTAGCAGCCCAGGAGCCATGGGCTCACCGTTCAGCCTCGGCGTGCTCTAGGCTGGCCTGTCTAGGCTTGTATAAACCTACTGGATGGTGTTTGCACAATGATTAAACTGCTTAGGATGTTCTTCCTCTCTCCTTCCCTCCTTTCTTTCAGAATTATCCCATTACTTGTTTGTGTGAATGCGTATGTATGTGGAGGTCAGAGGACAACTCATGGGAGCTGGACCTCTCCTAACACCACCTGGGGCCCAAAGATGGAACTCAAGTTGTCGGGCTTGGTAGCAAGTGCACTAACCTGCTGGGCCATCTGCTGGCCCTCCTTCCTTTTTATTTTTCTTTTCTTTTCGGCAGCAGCATTTAACTATGTGGTGCAGGCTATCCTGGAAGGATTCCTGAGTGCTGGGATTACGGGTGTGCCCCATCATGCTTGGCTCCTTGTAGTTAATTTTCTTCTTGTTGTGACAAAATAACCAATAAAAGCAACAAAGAGAAGGAAGAGTTTACTTTGGCCCACAGGTTGAGGGTGCAAATCCACCAGTCCGGGAAGCTGAAGGGTCAGGAGCTTGAGGCAGCTGGTCACATTGTGTCCCTAGTCGGAAAGCAGAGAGGAGGCTGGAGAGATGGCTCAGACATTAAGAGCACTGGCTGCTCTTGCAGAGGACCTGGGTTTAGTTCCCAGCACCCACGAGGCATCTGTCACTCCAGTTCCAGGAGATCTGACTTGCTCTCCTGGCCTCTGTGAGCACCAGGCACACAATGGGTGCACAGCACATATGTGTGCAGACAAATGCTCACACACATAAAATAAAAATAAACCTTACAAAAAGCACAGAGAGATGAATGCTGATGCTCAGCTGACCTCTTCCTTTTGATTCAGTCCGAAGTCCCAGCTCTTGGATAATGCTACCAACACAGAGAGTGGGTTGGTCAAGGTCAACAGGGACCATCTGGAAGCCCGATTCCCACAGCCAGCTACATATTGTGCTTTTGTACCTGATTGGCAAATCCATAAGAATTATAAACATTTATTCTTTTTACTTACTTATTTACTTTTTTTGTTTGTTTGTTTGTTTGTTTGTTTGTTTGTTTTTGAGACTGTCTCATGTAGCCCAGGTTCTTCTCAAACTCTCCATGAAGCTAAGGATAACCTTGAACTCCTGATCCTCCTTCCTCCACCATCCAAATTACAGCTAAAATTACAAGTGTGCCTGCCACATGCAGCATTTTGTGTTTTGTTTTGATTACGGTTTGCTGTGTAACCTAGTCTAGCTTTGAACTCACTATGTAGACCGGGTTGGCTTCAAACCCCTGCCTCAGCCTCAAGTGCTAAGATTACAGGGCTGTACCACTACACCTGGCTGCAATTTATTATTTAATGATTCGGGTTTCAGATTACTTTGCAGCATTAGCCATTGAGGAATGAAAACCCTCCTTAAGTTATGTGTGGAATCAAGGCGTACGTTCCAACGGGGACAAGAGGTGATGGTTCTCCTCTCGAGTTTAGAAGCCCTGGATGGGAAGGTGGCTTTAGAGTCTCAGGCTGGTGTTTACAGTCCATCAGTGATTCTCTTGGGGGCATGACTGGGTGTCGTAGCTTCTGGGGCCAGGGTCAGTTTGTCTTTAAACTCGTGGTAGCCTTGAGAGTCTTGGCACATTCTGGGTTCTGTGGCCACGTGTCCACTTCCCTGTGACCAAATGCCAAAGACACAGAAGAGGAGTGAGGAATAGAGGGTGTATGAATGGATTCCAGATGGAAAACCAGCCTGCCTAAGTGCAGCATGTTCACAGGGCTTTGGCTTTTGTTGTCCCAGTCATGATGGCTTTGTGGCCTAAACCAGTACTACCCAGAACTCTGGCTGCTTCTGAATGGATGCTTCATCTCTATCAGCACCTGCTGAAGTTTCAGCTTCTGTTCCTGTGTGTGTGTGTGTGTGTGTGTGTCTGTGTGTGTGTGTGTGTGTGTCTGTATGTGTGTACATGTGTGTACATGTGTGCGTGCATGAAGCGTTCTGTAGCTTAGGGTGTGTGGAAGCAAGTCCTCTCTCACCCTGCTTCCTTCTTTTCCAGCGTATTTCCTTGGTCAGTAGCTTTGCTGCTTCTCTGTTCCTGGGGGGGTACTCGCCCATCGACTACAGTGACGGTAAGTCTTCAGCGCGTGGAGAGACGCTTGTTCACATGCAGGGTGGCCATGGGGACTGCAGGCGCCTCATCCAGCCTGGGTGGGCGCCAGTCAGGCAGCTATCTCTTCATTTCCCAAGAAGGAAGGACCACTAGTCACCTTCTGTTGTGTCACGAGTGTCCCCATCACTACCGTGATCACATGAAGAGGCAAATGTTAAGTTCTCACTTAGTACCTGAGTATCCCTTAGTCTGGAATGTGGCACTAGCTGGACTGGGTGGTCCTGGCTCAAGATCACTCACAAGTTAGGCAAACTGGCAGCCAGGGGTGGAGGGAGGGAGGGAGGGAGGGAAGGAGGGAGGGAGGGAGGGGGCGGGCAATGAGAGAAGGGCCAAGAAGAAGCTGTAGTTGCTCCTTGCTGATCTTGGAAGTTCGGGAGGGAGGGAGGGAGGGGGCGGGCAATGAGAGAAGGGCCAAGAAGAAGCTGTAGTTGCTCCTTGCTGATCTTGGAAGTTCCATCCTTCTGATCACAGGGAACAGCCTGGGACAGGGTTGGGGTCACCTCGCCAGAGGTGAATAGCTAAGGCGAGAATCATCAGGGACCATCTTGGGATCCAACTCTCACAAGCTACTTATTGTTTTGCTCATATTTAGCAAATTTATGAGAACTGTGTTTATTTATTATTTAGTCTAATTTTATTCTGTGAGATATGGTCTCTTGTAGCCCAGGCTGGCTTTAAGCTTACAATGAAGCTGTGGATTACCTTGAACTCCTGACCTCTTGCCTCTGCCTTCTAATTTCTGGATAACAGTTGTGTACTGCCATACTCAGCATTTGGGATTTTTGTTTTGTTTTGATTTTAGGATATATATATATATATATATATATATACTTTATTTAAGTGTGTGTGTGTGTGTGTGTGTGTGTGTGTGTGTGTGTGTGTGTGTGTGCAGTTGCCCATGGAGGCTGGAGGCATCTGCCCCCTCTGGAGCTGGAGCTGTAGGAGGCTATGAGGCACCTGATGTGGGTACTGGAAACCAGTTGGGTCCTCTACAAGAGTAGGACAAGCTCTTGCACGAATCCTAAATGGTCTTATAATAAAAACCAGAGCCAGAAAGATCAGAGAAGCAGAGCAAGCCACAGCCACCACCTCTTACCTCACCAACTCCTCAGCCTGTCAGAGCATCTGCAAGAGAGCGAGTTCCTGTCTCCTCCTGCCTTATATTCCTTTCTCCACTCAGCCATATAATTTCCTGTTTCAACCTCCCTAGTGCTAGGATTAAAGGTGTGTGCCACCAGTGCCTGGCTCTGTTTCTTTTTTAGACTGGATTAATCTCATGTAGTCCAATGTGGCCTTGAACTCACAGAAATCCAAACAGATCTCTGCCTCTGCCTCCTGAGTGCTAGGATTAAAGGTGTGTGCCACCACTGCCTGACTCTATGGCTAACTCTGTGGCTAGCTCTGTCCTCTGATCTTCAGGCAAGCTTTACTTCCCAGATTACAAAAATATAGATATATAAAAACAATATATCACCACACAAGCTCTTAATCACTGAGCCGTCTCTCTAGCCTCTGGTTTTAGTTTTTATGAAACAGGATTTTGCTGTGTGCGTCAGGCTAGCCTTGAACTAAATATGTAGCCCAGGCTGGCTTCAGGCTCAGCAATCCTTCTGCCTCTGCCTCCTGAGGTACTTTGATTACAATGTATGCCACCGTGCCCTGCTCGGAATTGTTAGCTTTTAGTATCAAAACTGATGAAATAGACATGATGCCAGCAGAGAGAAGAAGCTAGGAGGAAGTTGCTGAAAGAACTCAAGGATGAGTGTAAGAGGATCTTAGTCCGTTTTCTGTTGTTATAACAAAATACCTGAGACCAGGTAATATACAAAGAATGGAAGTTTCTTTAGGGGCTGGTGACATAGCTCAGTTGGCAGAGTGCTTGCCTAGAATTCATGAAGCCCTGGGCAATTCCTAGCCCCATGTAAAGCTGGATATAGTGGTGTATGCCTGTTATCCCAGCCCTTGGGGGTTGGAGAGGGGACAAGAGAAGTTCCAGATCGTGCTCGGCTACATAGTGAGTTTGGGATCAGCCTGGGGTATGAGACCCTGTCTTAAGAAGAAAAAGAAAAGATGATTTTTTGATTTCAGGCACTTGAACCTGTTTGGCAGCTAGTGAGGCCTTCTTGTATCGTGACATGTGGAAACAGCGAGTGTGCGGCTCAGGTCTCTTTTGGAGAGATGGCTCAGTGGTTAAGAGCATACGCTGGTCTTGCAGAAAACCCAAGTTTAGTTCCCAGCACCCATGTCTAGTGGCTCACAACCACTGGGACCTTCAGCTTCAGGGGATCCAACAGCCTCTTCTGGGCTCCTGGGATGATTGCTGTCATGTGCACATAACCACAGACAGACACATATACACATTATTAAAAATAATAAATCTTGGGAGAGATAGTTCGGCTGTTAAGAGTGCTGATCTTCCAGAGGACCTGAGTTCAAGTCCCAGCACCTAAATGGCTGCTCACAACTGTCTATAACTCCAGTTCCAGGGGATCCAACATCCTCACACAAAGTGTATACAGGCAAAACACCGGTGCACATTAACTAAATAGATAAGTAAATAAATCTTTAAAAGTATAAAAATACCATCATAAAGACCCCATCTTATGTGTCTTTTCCTGGAAAAGCCATGAGATTGGGAAATCTCTGAGGGCTGCCCTCTGTCAGGGCTGCCTCTGGATTCCTTGAAACCCATGGGACATAGGGAACACTTTCTGGTTAACATGTTGTTGACATGCCTGTTCCTGGCAGGCCTCAGAACAGCAGATTTTTCAGGCTCCCCATGTGATGGGAGTCTGTGGAGAGCATTTGGAGGCGTGGTATACTTACCCGGGCCCTGCTGCCCGCTGGCTCTTGGGTTCAAGACATTCAAAGTGTATTACCTTCCCACTGTGATGAAACAGATCCAGCCACAAGGCTGGAGAGGTGGCTCAGTGCTCCTGTGGAGGACCTGAGCTCAGTTTCCAGCACCCACATGACAGCTTACAACCATCTGTAACTCCAGTTTCAGGAGCATATGACATTCTTTTCTGGCTTCCACTGGTCCTGTGTGAATGTGTGTGCACAGTCATACATGCAGGCAAACATTCCTACACATAAATACATCTTAAGCAAAAAACAAACAAACAAGAGACTCAGCCGCACATTTACACTAGGGAATTAATTTTATCTGCCAATTTCACCTATCTCCACCAAAGCCACCACGCCTCCAGATGTTTTTATTTTTGTTTCCTTCCTTCCTTCCTCAGGTTCTGGAATGAATTTGTTGCAGATCCAGGACAAAGTCTGGTCTCAAGCTTGTCTTGGTGCCTGTGCCCCCCATTTGGAGGAGAAGCTGGGCTCACCTGTTCCTTCGTGCTCAGTTGTGGTAAGTCTTCTTTTCAGTGATGACTCCTGTGGGTACTGGCACTGCTGGTGGAGCCTATGGAGGTGCACACATCCATGTGCACGCATGCACGCGTGCGCGCGCGCGCGC